TGTATCCAGGTAGGCAGCATGCGTTATAAAATGTGGGTGGAGTGTCAGGTGTCGTCTGTCAGTCTTCAGGGTACATGGTTGCTCTCATTCCGTGTAAACCACATCCCCACCACAGACACAAGAAAACAATGAGTCATCTCTTCACCCTCGTCTCCCTCAATTCATCCTTAAGATTTCCCCATTCTCAATATCTTAATTTAGAAAATATCCATTAGCAAGTAAGATAGGAGTTCTCAGTTGAAAGTTCTTACTGTTTATAGTAAAAAAAAAAAAACAAACAAAAACAAAAAAACCCATGAGTTTCGGAGTGCAAGCTGAAAAAAAATTATCTCTTCTTTGTAGAGTGAGATAGGGTTTATCAATATTTATTATTTTGGGGGAAAAATCAGGTACCAACTTACATCTCACCCACTGGTAAGAACACAGAAAAGATGACAGGAAATGGTAAATGTCCGATTTCTTTTCAAATGCTGAAGTTACAGAGATGTTTTGTGTGTCTTCAGTCTTTTCTTCCCGAGGAGAAGCAGACATTCTCATATTCTAAAGATGGGTCCCTTTCCTCGTTATAAACAGCTTTTATCAGTTGCACTGGAGATTTAATCAAATGAACCTACTTTAATTTTATGTATTGGTTCAGATTCTCTTTTTATCATGATGAGATTGAATTTTAGATGAAATTCACCCCTCTTTCAATCAGAGTGGACACTCTTTGTGTTCTCAGAGTGGGAGGTCCCCAGTGTGACTGACTGATACTGTGTGTGCAGTTGGCCCCTTGATGGTGGAGTTCCCTGCATCCCACAGTTACCTTTTAGAATGGAAAACTTTCCGTCATATTGTTCCGTCATCAGAGCCCCAAAACTATGATTTTCATCCTCAATCCTAATTCAAAATTTTGTGTCATACACAATTACGTCATTTCAAACCTTCCTGGCAAACTGATTTGAAGTGTTGCTGGGTGATTGATTAAACTTTGTGCAGAAAGGAAGTCTACTGAGTAACCAGTGCAAATGTTGCAGGATTTGATTTGTTTGCAAACTCTGAGAAAATAACACATGGTATACTTATGATATAGTTAAGTCTACAAGGGTGTTATTTTGACTGTTGTGGAGAAGGAGAGACTGGCTCCAGAACTCACTGGTGCGTTGGATTGACTTGGCACTCAAGAGACTTATTTGCCTTAATGGCAGCCGGAACTACAGCATTGGGCACCTGCTGCAACAGTGGCTGCTGGCTTGGCAGCCACAAAGTGGGTCGTGTCTGTCACCTGTCCCCGTGTTGGTAGATTGCTGGCCGTTTTCCACTCTCACCACTGTCAAATGCCATTTTTCTGTCATCACCTTTGGAAATTGTGGCTCTGTCCCTTCCCAGTTACAGATTCATTACGTTAATCTCAAAAAGAGCACTTACTTCCAAATAGTGATACTTACTTAGCTGCCAGTATGTTGAAAAAACATACATAAATATAGTCTGGAATTTACAAACTGTCAAAATTAAGACCTATTTAAAAGGTATTTTGAGGCTTTGAAACATCATATGACATTGGTCAAATTACAAAAATGTTTATTTCTGTGACATTAGAGTTTTTCAAGGAAAATCAAAGCTTTACCCCCGATGAGAATTAGCAGGCATTTGTTGTTGCTGAAATCGTGAGGGAAGCACAGTACATAATACATACTGGGTGTGAAGATATTATTTTGAGAAATAAGAAAGGCTTTTGGAGGAAGAAGTGGTAAAAGAAAGGCAATAATGGGAGACGTGGGGAAGAACAAGCCAAGCCAGAGGTCGGGTGAGCGTGGGATTCCTGATGCAGTCAAAGCCTCAGTTCTGTTTCAGAGTTTCCTCTGTCCAGATGGGTCATCACTAAACTTGACAACCTAGGAGAGCACTAGAAAAATGAAACGGGACGAGATGACAAATAATTGAGATTACAACTGACATCATATATTCCTGAAACCAGCCTCACACAGCCAGGATCCTTTGGTTCATTGTGATTTCCGTAGCTCCTTCCTTTGTTTCCTTTGGAGGTTCTCCTGTGTGGAATAGTAGGCGTTAAGCTCCGTCCTGGCCATCAGTTCCAAATACCCTGGCTGTGATCAGAGATAACAGCCTCTCCTGAAGTCAGCCTCAAAACTCAGAAAAAAAAAAAGCTGCAGAAGACAACTAGCAAATGTGTATTTGTTCTACAGATTAACAGCTGAGTCCTAGCAATTTATTAGGACTTTAATGGTTCAAAGCTGAAGAGAGAGTTGAATAATTAAAAGACAGATTATAAATTACTAGGATGAACAATAATGATATATTTGAATTTCTTATAATTTCAGACTATGAGTCTATTAACAAAAGTTTTTAAAGAAACCACAAGGTCAAAATCATCAGTATATTTACAAGTCATTGCTTGTTAAATCTAGATATTGCATTTAGTCTTACATGTTTCTAATTCCGTGAGAGAATGCAGGAATCAGGGCTAGAGACATGGCCGAGAAGTTGAGTGTACACTGCTCCTAGAGATGAATGGCAGCTAGTCAATGTGAGTTCCTTCTGTGTGCCGCCTTGTGTACAATAGGGATGCTCCAATAGAAGAAATGTCCTTTGTGGTGTGGGGCAGGAGGTTGGTAGCCTGCTCTTGATTCATCGCACAGACACTCCCCCAGAGCACAGGTGATTCGTGCCTTCAGGATCAATAGAAAACCGTAGCAAGCTTGCAGGTACAGAGAGCAGTGCTGGGGAGGCCGAAGGTTAGGAAACTGAAGGGACAGAGATGTTGGGTTTTTTGAAGCTCAGGATTATGCTGGAGAAGAAGGAAGTGTGCATGGCAGCACGGTTTCCAGCTGAGGAGTGCTGGCCCTGCAAAGCATCACCTCTGTGGAGCTGACATCGTCTAAAGAAAGGGTAGTTCACTCAAATGATGCTGAAAACGAAGAAGGAAGAACAGGGGAATAAGAAAGATCATGTGAGATGGAAGAGGACACTTACCTCTGAGTTTGACACCAGTTGTATAAAGGGGAATAAAAGTGTCAAGAGAGGGGAGTCTCAAACAAGGCCTCCAGTTCATTTAGTGAGCAAGGAAAGAACAAAGGAGTTTGCATCTTAAAACACAAGAAGAGAAAAATCTGTGCACTTTAGCTAATGATTTACACCAGAAACCCATCATAAAACTAAAGAAAACCATACAGAAGACTGTGATAGGAATCAAATATTTTTTCTTCAGCCCTTTGAATATATGAAACAGAAAGCTTTGTTGGCTTGAAAATACCAAAGCTCAGCAGAAAACGAGGAAGAAAAAAGGAAGAAAAAAGGAGAAAAATAAAGTGTTAGTTGAACTCCTGAGAAACATAGAAGATAAAAAACAAAATAAAAGAAAATAATTGCAAGGTGTCCAGGGGAAATGTAAATGGTAGGTGACCACACATTTAATATGTACAGTAAATGTAAGTGACCTAACCCCATCAAGTGAAAACCAGACATCGGCAGGATGGCATTTAAAAACATATGCTGTAAAACTTTACCCATTATGGCAGAATTGGTAAGACAGATGAAAAAGGACCATAAAAGATCCACCATGTATGCAATCTCCTTCAAACTGGACAGGCCACACAAGGTTAAGGGCAGAGCATCAGATACTTTCAGCAACCAAACAATATATAGCCACAAAAGGGTCAGTTCACAATGAATATAAAGGTGTGTGCAATGAGCATCAGCACTTCAGAGCTTGAAGCAGGGCTCCCGAGATGGTGCAGTAGATAGAAGGCACATGCCATCGAGCCTGGCAACATGCAGTGGAAAGAGACTTGGCTCCTGCAAGAAGACATCTGACCTCCACATCCACGCATGCGAACATGTGCATGCACACTAGTTTGCTTTCCATTGCTGTGATGAACACTATGCCCAAAGGTACATTCTGTTCCTTACATCAGCATATGAGCAATAGTTCATAACAGACAGAAATCGGAGCAGAAACTCCAGTAAGCTAGGAACGTGAAGAAGACACGGTGAAGAAATGCAGCTTACTGTCCTGTCCCTGCCTTCTGCTCGCATGGCTTTCCTACCGAGCCCAGCAACACCTGCATAAGGAATGGTGCCGCTAGCAGCAGGCCGGGCCCTCCCATATCAGTTAGCAATCAAGAAAATGCTCCGTAGACATGCCCACAGTCCAGGTTGACTAAAGTAGCCTCCTAAATGAGACTCCCTCAGATAACCGTGGGCTGTGTCAGGATGATGGCACAAACTAAGTTAGGACATAAATAAACACACAAAGTAAATAAATATAAAAAATAAGAAGCAAAAAAAAAACCAACTACAGAACTCAGAAGATAATTTCATTGAGCCACAGTTTTAGTTGGGGACATTAACATTGCACTCTCAACAGCTGTCATAACCATTATTCTATTCAGAAAGTCAGTAAGAATCGAGAAGAACTCAGATGAAGCCGTATGGTTTAGTTGATATTTACAGGACTTCCTATCCAGTCCTGGTAGAACACATGCACGTGGAACATATGTTATGATAAACCATACTGCTAATAAATAATCCTCATGAAAATAAACTTGAAGCATTTAAGAGAATTGAGGGCCAGTGTGATGGCTCAGTGGGCAGAGGTCCTTGCTGCGGAGACTGGTGGCGTGAGTCTGTCCCACAGCTTACATGGTAGAAGGAGAGAACCAGCTCCTGCAGACTCCCCCACCCTTCACACGTACACTAATCCTGTGCACACAGGAACTCACACACACACACACACACACACACACACACACACACACACTTTAGTTCTTTTCCTCAGCAAGCATGTACTCTGAACTCAGTGGAGCCCACCTAGAGACCACTGATGACTGACAGTTGAAGCAGTTGGGAGAGAAGGAGAGTCTTGTTCTTCCAGCCACTATTCTCATTGCTATTGGTACAGAACGTGGAAAATAGATGTCTTTCATCTGGCAGTGAGCACACGGGTAATGTGACACGGCTTACTAATGGTCAACTGTTTCTCTCCCCACTTTGTCTTGCAGCGTCTCTGTTGAAAGGCTTGAAGCACGCAAACATCGTGCTGCTTCATGACATCATCCACACCAAGGAAACGCTGACGCTTGTCTTTGAATACGTGGTAAGTGGAATCAGAGTGCAGCCTAGCTAAGTGAGAATAAAAACCTCACAGTCATAGCATTTGATGTTTTAATGGCTATCCTGAGATGAGTGGCTTTTCTGAGTACTTGTGACATTGTTTTGTGTAAAATCATGGCCCTGTGAGAGATTTTTGAGTATGTCTCTTAAAAGAACGTCCAGAAAAATGTCAAGTTGCATTTTGTTAGGTATTTTTTTTTAATTTGTAGGTTATTTGTTACTTGTGTGCTTACATTCTGATCTTTAGACTTATTTAAAAGGATGGTCACTATCAAAGGAATTCAGAAGCAACACAAAATATTTTTCTTGGAGTTTGTAATGTAGTTTCACAAAAGCATTCTTAAGATATTTATCTATTTCTATATATAGTTATACAGAGATATATTGGTAGGAGTTGGGGAGGGATCCAGATACCTCTGAAATTTAGGTTTCAAGGTTTTCCTCCTTAGTTATTTCAGCTATTAACTAAAGCTTCCAATTTGTATAGCATACCATGTAACAATCTTCTTGTGTTGAGGGTGTCACTGCGGGAAGACCTGAACTTCAACTGGTAATTAATCTTTCTTCATTCCCCTCACTAAAACATATGGTGTTTGTGTAGCACCGTCTCAGCATTTAACTGTGGAATCATGAAATGTAACCATGATAATTAGCATCCCAGTTTTCACAGATGGATCTGAGAGCATGTAATTTATAAGATACAAATGACACCGGTGCCGACTTTTTATTGTGAAGAATAGCTACTGGGATTTTGAATGTATTAAGGTCTCTTTTTTATAATTAGGGTTTTTTTTAATAATTCCCATTTTCCTTAAAAGTATAAAAGAATGAATATTTGAAGCATTTTATATCTTCCTAATGTCTGCCTGTGTCTGTTTATCATTTGAAAATTGTTGTCTCCTGAAGAAGCCATTCATCTTGTCTATTTACATATAAATGATAGATACATTTAAATAATATGGTAATGTGGTTACAAGGATAGCTAGAGCTAGTGAGTTGCATATATTATGTGCTACCAAGAATGGAAGCAGATTCACACATCAATACAAATATAATTTCTTTTGTTTCCTCCATGAGTTGGAGTCAATAATGTATTGAGCTGACTTAGGCTTGTAACTTTCCATTCATGTTTTCTAGTATGTCTGATTTACATATTTCAATGAAATCTAGAGTTTTCTATTTATACTGTCTTCCACAATGCTTTACAGAAAGAGTGTTTAAAGATGTACTTAGTCCCTACCTCAGACTGGGCAATTAAATTAGAAAAAAAAAACAATGTTTGGGACACCTATATTTACGGATTTTATGTTGATTTCTGTGTACAGTCCACTGATGTGAAGTTAAACACAGACATATGTATATGTTAATTAAGTTAATGTATACACATACTCATATATGCACACATAAGCTTGCGATTTTGTTTTTTAGTGTACTCTGAAATCAGTATCAAACATTGCTATCTATATGTTCTCAAGCTTTATAATGACATTACCATATTTTAAAGTTGATGATATCGAACTTATTTTATAAGCAGCATTGATTTTGTTGTTCCATGTTATTTTCTCGCTGGCCCTGGTGGCACATAACACCAACTTCTCAGGAGACTGAGGCAGGAGAGTCATAAATACAAAGCCTACCTGGCTAGAGAGAAAATTAAAGGCCAGCCTCGTGAAGTTAGCGAGATCCTGTGCCCACAGGGAGTGGTATGGAGAAATGCAGCTCAGGGGAGAGGGCTGCATCATTGGACCTCTGTTGCTGGGATAGAATGCCTTAACAAAACAATGCATGGAAGGTTTTATTTTGACATAAGTTTCCAGAAGGGGTGAATCTATCCTGGGGTGAAGCAAGAGAGTTGGACATTTTTTTTTTTTAGACTCTAGTGTGTCTTTGCTTTTATATTAGAAGTTCATTTTTAGTTGGGGAGGCATGGCAGCAAGCAGCAAGCCTAGAGGCAGGAGCAGGAAGCTAAGAGCTGATATCATGGACTGCAAGCACAAAGCTGCAGGCAAATTGGAATAGTGGTGAGACAATGAACTCCCGAAGCCTGGCATCATTGATGCTCTTTCTTCAGCCAGGCCACAGTGCTCCCTAACCTTCCCAATCAGTGCTATGAGCCGGAGTCCAAACGGTCTAATATGTGGGCCTATGGGGGCATTAGTCATTCAAACCACCACAAGTTCATGCCTCGTTGTAAAAGACCACGGGGTCAATCTTGGCCACCACCAAAACAAACAAACAAACAAACAAAAAACCAAGAAAACAAATAAAATTTTAGAAAGGACGTAGTTTATAATGTAATGGAAAAAAATCAATATGCCACGCTCTTAAAACCCGAGATGTAAAGGTAAAACAGGAGAGTTCGGCAGGTTTTGGGACACTGCTACATCTTTGTTTTTCATTGGAATTATTTTCAGTGTCTTTCTGAGGTACACCCATGTGCCTCACTACACAAAGGGTTCTGATTTATGACAACGCCCATGCAATATAATGTATTTCTACCCCTTTCTTTGGTAGAGAACCCTAATCCTAGCTCTTTTATGTTATTCCCACAGTGACATGTTAGGTTTCTGAAAGCCTTCTGAAGGCCAGAATCATGAAATAAGTGACAGAATGTTGTGATATGGGAAATGCTCAGGAAATGACTTTGGAGCTAATTAGCACAACAGTCCAGCAGCTAATAGAACTTTGTTGTTCTTCTCAAATACATTGGAAAGTTAAAACATTGAGAAACTAAATTCTTCCCAACGTTCCCTGTGTGCTTATGTAATGATCTGGAAGCTTGAAAGCTGGAGTTTGTTGGCCTTGGGTTCCCAGGTGGCTTGCATCTCAGTGGCAGGTCACATGGGCCTCTGCTAAGTATGCTTCCGGAACTGCTTTCATCTCATAGATGGAGTTGCTAAGGGTCACCTCTAATCCGGAAAGGACAAGCAGGCTTGGAAAGGAAGCCGCTTCTTAATGGTCTAAGACACTGGGGCAGCGCTCTGTATTTCAGGTATGGGTTTAACCTTGAAAGAGAAATATGATAGCATTTGGAATCATTGACTCCAGAATACATTTAGTTATGACAAGGCTAACAAAATTGTTCTTCTACTTTAACAGAAAGCTTAAGCAGTTTAGTTTTTTATGCTCATTGGTTTTTGTCAGAGACAAATGAGTGCCACATTGTATTTAACAGGATGATGAAAAATGTAAGATATATTCCATAAGTGGGAATAAGAATATTAATAGTAAACACAATTATAGAAATGTATGTTGCCATTAATTTCATAATCATTGTGTTTTGCTTTAAATTGCAAAAGAGCAAGCCATCTGGAACATCATTTTTCATTGCATATTTAATGTTGTACTAAAAGAAGCAAAAGCCAAGCATGGTAACAAAAGCCTTTAATCCCAACACTCAGGAAGTAGAGGCAGGCACAGTTCTTTATCATGTACGCCTGGTCTACACTGAGAGTTCTAGGTCAGTTATAGGCCACTTAGTAAGACCCTGTCAAAAATAAATAAACCACAAAATTGAATGAGGTTTTCAGACATGGACAAAGTTTTGATTTTACAAGATATATAAGTTATAGAGATTAATGTATGATATTGTACATATAGGAATTTGGTAGAAGACCAGACATTTTCTCAACTATTCATGCCACCGAAACATGAGTAACCATAAGCAAAAGGATACAATTACGTAGGAGATGGCCATGTCTAATAACTTTGTTGCTTTGATTGTGGTTATGGTAACATGGGTGTGTGCGGGTATCATAAGTACTCAGAATGCATATGTGGAATATATACAGATGTTAGTCTATGGGTTACTGCTCAAAAAGTGGCAGGAGGAAAACCTAGAAATTCATAACTAATCCCATCCCAAAAAAAATTAATGTAGTCATTTTATTTCTCCTATGATGTAAACTATTGAAATAGTTCAAACTAATATGGAACGTATTTTAAAACTTAAAACTGTAAGATTGTGCCTCATGAGAAAAAAAATACAACTGAAAATCATATAAAATGATTGAAAGATCACCAAAAATTTCATGGCTCTATTAGTTTTATAAAACACTCCCATAAATGTTGTCCAATAGATTGTGAGATTATGATGGTTGTTACTTTAATACCCTAAGTCTTGACTTAGTTTTTCATGCATTAATCACTAAGTAGGGCTCGGTTATAAATTAATGTAAACTACAAAACAGAGATCCATGACCTGAACACTGGGACACTCCCACTTCGGTGGTCACAATGCTGAGGACTCTCTTTTCGAAAACTCAGCCTGATTTCTAAATGAGCCAAGGTTTATGAGGGCAGTGATTAATTCTCTCAGGCACACCAGGCGATCTGGTGCATCCAAAATTGTTAAATGTTTTTGTACACACATCCACCCGCCCCCCCCCACACACACAGTGGGGGAAGGACAGAGAGAGACAGAGAAACAGTCGGAGAGACAGAAACAGCAGAGACAAAAATTTCATCACTTTAACTCATAAATCATCATTTAACTCATATTTCATTTTTTTCACCTGGTTTCCAGCTGTATTTCTCACATCTAAACTTTTTTTCTACCCAAGCAAACATTCTCCGTGAGCAGTCATAGCAGCTTCAAATCATGGCGTGGTTACAGATCCATCGTTGTGTCCGAGCAATTAAAGACTCTGTTCAAAACAAATGTGCCAATCAGAGTTCCCTATGGCAAAACGGAGCTTTCCCTGGCTGATTCAGACATGAAAGTCTTGTAGGGTTATTGTGACCGGCAGCCTGATAACTAGGTTTTGAAAACAAGAGAAATCAGGTGACTCTGGCCAGTCAGACCTCGAGCAAGAGTTACGGCTGGGAAGTGTGCTCTGAGCACCTGCTGCCATCGGAAGTGTTGACAGCATACTGCATCTCTCAATTGCTTGTTTGGCGTTCCTGGGTTAATAGAGTTGACACTCCGCTAATGATGTCAAAGTAGCCTCTCTAGCCTCATTGCTTCTTTGGGTTGTTGCCATC